TGCCTGGTATTCACGTAAGAGCATATGAAAGTTTTAGGGCGAAAATTACTAATTCATCAACCAGAAAGGCTGGAAAGCTGAAATTTTGGGGGAATGTTCCCTGTCCAAGCACAACTTAAATATTTCAAATTAGCCCTCAGTTATGCGTGGTATTTACGTAAGGGCGTATGAAAGTTTCTGCGGGAAAATTACTAACTCGGGAACCAGAAAAGCTAGAAAGCTGAAATTTTAAGGTGATATTTCCTGTCCAAATACAGCTTATGCATTTCAACTTCAATCTTGAGGAATGCGTAGTTCTTGCGTACTGGCAATTAAAACTTTGGCTGAATTTTTGACTGAACAACTAGGTTACTTATAAAAAACGATCGTTAAACGGAAATTGTACATTTACTTCATGCAAAATTTATGGTTATTTATGCTACTGACCACAGGGTAGGTGTGAAACAAAAACCATTCATGCAATTAATGACCTGAGTACTTCAAGCCTGATGCAAAAACGTATGATCGCACGGACCGGCCTGGTGCGTCCCAGCCTGGGTTTGAAAATGACCCAGCTGTTCAATGAGCAATTTCCCCGTCAAAAACTTAAGTGCTCGTACATGAGAACTATGCGTACATGTAGGCTGAATTTGAAACCTTTAAGCTGTATTTAGACGGGGAATATGAATATTTTCCTAGTTCCCGCATATAAGCAAAAAAGCATAAAAATCTGCAAAATGCACTTGCTTTTGAGCCTGCGATAAAATTGAGCATTTTTCATGTCTGCATGCAGGAGATTTCACCCTCAAAATAAGTTAATACCATAAACGGATAGAGAATAACGTTCCAAAGTTTCAGCTTCGCAGCTTGCCTGATAAGCGAAATAGCTACTTCGTTATAAATACCTTAGAAGTGCTCTAAGTCGCGGCGCAAGAGCAAATCGAAACTCAGTTTAGGTATACGATTTCTCATATGAATAATAAATACTCTGACAAAATTTCAACCACTGTTTTCCGTCCAATTTTCGAGTTAGCGCCGAGCCAAGTGTAAAGTATGACACGACCGCACTTGCAGCA